CAGACCTATATATAAAGCTCGGAAAGCGCAAATAAATAAGATCACCGCAAAGCACTACTTATGCGCATTCTGAGCTGTCGTCCCGCAGAATGTGCTTAAGTGAATTTAAGAATAGGATCTTACCGCACCAGTTTAAGCATCATCCCAAAAAAGTGTGAAAGCTAGGGCATCGTATCGTATAAGGGTATCACTAGTATTAAGCGTGAAAAGTAAAGAGCCTATTCACCCAGTTCAATGCGCCATGTTCAGTTAGGATAGCTGGCAAGCCGCGCAGCTCGAGATCTAAGAATGGCAAGAAATCGAGATCCGAGGCATATGAAATAGTTAGCGTTCCTCTCGTGTAGGAACTCTCACCAGTTCCAAAATGTGAATAACGAGTGAGAATGAGCAAGCTAAGGATTACGAAGTTATTATCGCCCATATAGCTTATTAGTAAGAAAGGAGCGAGAAGATAAGTACGCAAAGAAATTAGCATTTCACATCAAAATCCGAATCCGAAGCCTGCAGATACATCAGCCGTACCGCCATTTCATTCCTATCCCGGGTGGTTAGAGCTTCTCTCGTTGATCTGTTTGTTGATCGTCGTTCTTTTCACTTAATGAAATCGAATCCTCTTTTCGGAATATGTTGTTTTAGTTGATGGAGTTGCACACACATCGTCATCCTTCTTGCTTTCATCTTTTTGTTAGTGAATTCGGCGAAGGTCAGGCGAAGCCGGCTAAGAGTTTTCCCCCCGTCCTAGTTTAGGGCATCAAAGATGGCGTATAGGACAGATCGGTCCTATTAGTACTAAATAGATATGAAATAAATAGCTTTGGGGGAACATGAACTAGGTTCACTTGGTCGGCTTCGCTCCTTTATCATTTTCTCAATCTGCAACTTTGAATGAATTGCGGATTGAGAAAAATCCGATAAGCTGTAGGTGGAATTGCAGGATTTTTTAGACCAACTACTCTAGCATGGTAATGGTCCAACCATGGCTCTAGCGTAAAGAGAGTGAGAAGTTGTGCAGTTCTTCAAAAATAATCGCATTGATAGCCGAATAAGAGCGTAGCGGTTCGCTGCTTAACAATTATATATACGAGAAAGATCATTCATCTCAGTACCTGAAAGAAGATCAGGCATTTCAGTCATTGCCACCAAGCCCATTCGAGTTGGTAGTTCGAGAGCAAGGGTTAGCTCAATGAAAGGCAAGTTCCCATGCCTCTAGCTTCTTCCGGAGTGAGAGCTGGTAGTTCGCAAATCAAGAGTTGCTTCTGAGGCTTCGTCTTCGTACTCAAGCATTGGTATCGATCCCGAGTCGATTGATAGTGATAGTTTGACTTGCTCAAGTTCATCAATCCCCGTTATTTTCATGAAAAGTCGATTCTCCCCCCTTCTTACCGCTACCAGCCGAAATCGAGAAAGTGTTCCGAAAGCCGTCATTTTGGCGTACATTGGATTTCTCTCTTAAGCGACCAGCCTCAAATGAGGCAAATTGGATACTTTTGACAGCTATAGAGACGCTACTTTGTGAAATGGACATGTGGCACAAAAAAATGGCTTTCATCAAATCCACCTATATGAGATAGGATGCAAAGTTAGGTTATTTTTAATACATACAGCAATTGCTTTAAGCCGGGAAGCAAGCTAGGATATACGCAGGCCTCTAGAGCTTTTTCACGATAAGGACTAAGTAAGTAATCACGTTATTATGTATATTAGGCGAGAGACAGAGTTGATTGCCTGTTTTTACTCGAAGATGGGAAGCGATCCGGGCATTCTACCAAAAAGGCGGGGGCGTGTGATCTTGCCTTAAGAGTTCGATCCAGCAGGGAGAAAAGAAGGCATTGACGTGAAAAGACTATTGCCATTTAGTATTGGTTGCAGCAGGAAGGAGAGAGGGTTCGAATACCGATTTGAGAACCTGGTAACTAGCATCCTCACTATTAAAGTATGAGTTAAGCGCGATTGAAGTAGAAAAGTCAAGCTTTTGCCAGAAGAGAGTCTTTCACAGTATCGTAAACATTCCCATTTATCCTGAGTCTAGTACGCTAGACTCTCTTCAAACAAAACGGGAGGCACAATCAGTTGAGTCTAGCATTCCTGTGCAATTCCCTTCCTTTAATTAGAGCCAGCTTCCGCTCTCTGTCTGTCATCTGTCAACTGTAAGGGTCGCATTCTGTCCAGTAAACTGTCCTTAGGCTGTCCAACGCTCATTCGTCCACGAATACCGATCCTACGAATACAGCTCCTCTAGCTTCTGTTATGAGTGAATTTCTATGCTCCTATTTGATCTAAAAAGAAGCCCTGTGAAAGCCATTTGTAATACTACGCTATACGGTCCATTAACCTGTGCTTAATGCCGTATTTTATGTGCTCTGAGTCGAAGTCGCAGCAAGGCCAGGCCTAGGCAGAGTATCCTTTCCCTCTAGCAGTAGCCACTCTAGTCCGTCCTTATTCCGCAAGGAAGTATCTGCAAGTGAAAGAAGGCCGAAGTTGAATGAATGGATCTGAGAAGGAACCAATCTTGGCAGTTATTCTCTTAATAGCCATCCGCAGAGAAGCAGCAGAGCTTTGGTTCGGTAGAACAGAATTCCACATCTTTCTAAAGAGAGAAGGCAGCACAGGAAGCAGTTCAGTTGCCGTCGCGAGCTAGGCCAGCTTGCTAGCTAATCTGATTTCGGGAGCGTAGCTAGTATTCAATATAGTTTGGATTCTGAAATGCTTGCTAGATACGTTGCTTGCCTTTCAGCTTTACAAGTATAGTTACAGGTTCCTGGGGCAGTAGTTAGTAGTAGCCTTGGACCAAAGATCTTTCTTTCAAACTGGCCTACTGCCTCCTCTGTGTATTCCTACAGTGCAAGTTAACAACTTCTCTTGCTCGGACCAGCGATCAGGAGCAAGGTAAAGGAGAAACCGAATCTATCGCATCACGTCAAGCAAACCTTTCCATAATAAATGAACTTTGCCTTATAAATAACATCTTTCTTCGGATGGCATTTGGGGCTCACTCCAATGGCTTTCCTGAATCAGCTTCACCTTTCTCAGAATCTGATTCGGGTCTCAGGGACAGTGAAGGGCTAGACCCACAGAATGGAATACAGCACCGATGTTGGAAAATGGCTTTCTATACTACCTCCATCATGATGTAGGGGGTACTAAGATGTTGTGCTGAAGCAGTGTTCATCTCTTCAGCTACTCTACTGAAAGACGGAGAAACTTTTTCGAATAGATGCTTGATGCTGTCCAGAACGTCGAACTAGAAAGATGAGATGGGCCGATCCTCCACGTGAACTGGCAGCCATAGCAATTGAACTCTGGCTTGAATGAGAAGGCTATCAAAGCCTAAACCCCCTCATCAACTTGCTGTTGGGCAATGGACATGTGACCTGGCTTGGGGCGAAGTCCCTCTGGCACAGGAGCGAAATGGCCTTTCGCGTAAGTACTGGCATCATAAAATGCAGA